AAAACAGCAGCTTCAATCATCGCAGGTATAAAAAGAATCCAATAACGGAGTAAATCCTATCAAATGCAAAGAGAATTCTAAAAGCCGGTTCCGATATTTACTACATAGTATACAAACTTTTTATACATATATTTACGATGGAAAATGTAGCTTTATTTACTACGCTTTACACTCGTGACTTTGAAGTACGAGTAATTAAAAACTAAATAACGACACCATAGCCACGATGTTTATTATTATGTCAATTTATATTAATGGGTATTTTTTTTTGTTTAATGTATTTTTCTCCTTCAAAAGCTTTTTGTTTTTACCAAATAATGGTTAGTTGGTAGAGAATACCATACGGCATTAATCTCGCCATTTGTAAAAATTTTATTGTTAAAAAAAAAAAAAATAAACATTCAAAGAAATAACAACACATAAATGCATAATGAAATCACAGTGCATTCTGTGCAATTTTATAAATTCTAGATTTTAAGTATATTTATAGATGACGATTACAACTTTCCATCAGGTGAACCGTCAGCTTATATAGATTGTTTGCCTTTTAAAATTTCATTAAAAAATCTAAAATTAAAATAAACTGTCTCCATAGATGGATGCAAAAAAGTTATCGCATTAAGTGAGTTTGCTTGCTATGCACTTTATAAATATTCAATGAGAAACAATGATAATTAAAAATTGTAACCTACGAAAAATAACTGACTTCAATTGTGACAATATGGGGGAAAGGATTAATATCAATGGGGAGATTAGTCCCCATTGATAACATTATATACTATCAGGTCGACCTCCACGCAGTTCCATGCAATTTACCAGAGGGAGACTTTGTACAAAAGACGATTGCTTGGGTACCACTGTCCCATTCGTGTTTCAACCGTGAAGCAATTGTGTTTGCATGGCTGTGTTTCGGTTTGAAGGGTGGGATATGGCGTGAATTTACTGGGTACAGAGGAATAACACCTGAGTCCTCAGGAATGGCAACGTATGAGGGGTATCATGGGCGAAACAGTATACTCTGTTATGTACATGGTACTGATCATGTCTATATGCGACGGTTACCACTTTCCATCAGGTGGGCCGTCAGCTTTTTTGCTTTAAAATAATATATAATAATAATATAATTCTGAGTTGTATAAAAAAAAAGTTCCCCCAGGAAACCATCGTGAATAATTTATCGTTGAATTCGTCACGATGGGCTAATTGACTTGCCTTTTGATCCTCACCTATCATTCCTCACTGGTGCCCTGCCAGAGTATTCCGATGGCGCAGGTGGGGTTACCATTTCATTATCACCCATTAAAAAATACCCTCTTTGCCAGCAATATACCCTATCAGGTTGATCACCATGCGGTTCCCGCTGGAATCTCCTCTTAAAACCATCGTGGTTAATTCTTGTGAAATTCGTCATAATGGGTTGAGCGAGCTAACTGACCTGCTTTTATCCTGGCTTATCATCATTCACTGGTACCTCGCCAATATATACCGATACCATAGACAGGATTACTATTCCATTATCACTCATTAAAAGAAAAGCTCTAAAGTTTAAAGTTAAAACTTAACCCTTCTTTGCATAATGGTGGAAATTTCCATCATAACATTGAATGTCTAAATATTTATATGTATAAATAATATGGTAAAAGACCAAGTTCAATTTATATTGATCGTGTCTGGATACCTTTTTAATGTCCATTGCAGAAAAAAAACATAGCTATAAAATTTATTTTTTTAACCATTTTTCCTTTAATTTTGAAGATTAATTATATCCCCTTGATTTATTTCACCAATAAAAACAAAAATAGTAATTGGCGATTCCGAGGCGGCTCACTCCCGGGAAAAATACAGAAAGCGGTGCTCTTAGATTTTGCCCGCACTGTACGCTGGTTTCTTTCCCTGGGGCCCTGAACCCGGCCGGCTGTGCTTCTGCCGGGGGTTAGTTACCATCTCCTCTCCTCAAAAGGGGAGATCATATCACATCTTATTTTGTAAATAGCTATAATAATAAAAAAATCATGCAAAGAAGGGTTAAAAGTAAAGTTTTATAAAGTTTATACCTCTTTAAGCGGTTATCTGAGAGAAGCAACCATAGTAGCTAGCTAATCTTTCATTTAAACCAAGTTTTATTAAAAAGTCTTTAACCCGCATAAGTCAGCGCTGCAGCGGCTAAATTGTTTTTGAAAATTGACAGATAATTGCGACGTTGCCACGTTTAGGTAAACTAAAGTATGGTACGCTCTTAACAGTTTCATAATGTTGACTCTGTCGTTAGTTTCCGAGTTATCGCAGCGGAGACAGTTTGTTACATACAGTTGCATAACAGTAGGTACCGACCTACGGTGAATACGACAGATTTGGTTAAGAAATGAAATACCTATTTATTTGCATTAGACAAACATTTAACATGACTAAGTTAATCGCTCTGTGGTCGAAATTCGACCATAATATATATTGTAATAAATCATATTATTATAGTTATGTTACATACGAGGTTTGTCCGGAAAGTACGTATAAAAGTTTTTTAAAAATTTTATTTTACAATTATTCAGGTAAATCAATTTTATCCCCTTCAAAGTACTCCCCCTGTGACATAATGCACTTGTGCCAACGCCGTTTCCACTGTGAGAAGGCTCCTTGAAAGTCCTCTGGTTGTAGGTTTCTCAGCTGCCCCGTCGTAGCTTTTTTTATCTCATTTATGTCCCCCAAATGCCGCCCCCGAAGTACCAATTTGGTTTTTGGGAACAAGAAGAAGTCACACGAAATCCGGCGAATAGGGGGGGTGTTCGGTCACCGTAATGGAATTTTTACTCAAAAACTCACGGACAACAAGAGAGGTGTGGGCAGGGGCATTTCGTGGTGAAGAATCCAACGCCCCTTCGCGCCAATTCTGGACGAACTCGTGCCACACGAGCTTTGAGGCGTCTGAGCACATCGACGTAGAATTTTCCATCAACTGTCTGGCCTGGAGGGACGAATTCTTGATGGACAATCCCCCGAACATCGAAAAAAACAATCAACATTGTCTCGGCCCTCTCTGAATCTTTTTAGCCACTTGTGGACGGTTGGTTCCTTCACAGCATCATCCCCATAAACTGTTCTGAGATATTCTTGCCGAGTTTCGAGAAAACTTGATTACGATGCTCTTCAACGGAAGCGGGCTTGCCGACGGGGTTTCGTTAAGAGGTAACTTCACAGATGGCGTGACAGTACTTACTCGTACAGTAAGACTATAGACAAATAATATTAAAGACAATATTAATCTATTCTCAATTTAACCACAGACAGTGCGTGTGTCAAATACATGGTTTTTTTTTTAAATGGATGATAATGGAATGGTAATCCCACCCGCGCTATCGGTATACACCGGCGGGGCACCAGTGAAAGATGATGATTGACATAGATTACGGATAAATTATTCATCTGAGAATTTTTTTTAATGGATGATAATGGAATGGTAACCCCGCCTGCCTATCGGGATACGCTGATGGGGCACCAGTGAAGGATGATAGCTGAGTATGAAGCAGGTCAGTTAGCCCCTCGTGACGAATTCAACAAGAATTGTTCACGATGGTTTCCAGGGGAAACCACGTGGAGGTCGACCTAATAAGGTATATTACTAGCAATGGGGCTGTCAAACTCCATTGCTAACAATCCTTTTCCCCCCTCAAATACATGGTAGTGTGTGTATTTTTTTTTTTGTTGATATAATATAGTGTTTATGCATAATTAAAAAAAAAAACGTAGCATTTTACATAAGTATGTCAAATTTCATACTCCTCCGTCCGCGCAATTTTCGTGAAAAGGGTTACAAAGTTTTTGCTTCACATATTAATATATAGATAAAAGCCACGTGACAGTATTTTTGGCATCTATTCAAATATCTTAAAATTGTAGGCATGCAAATATAATTCATTTATTAATTTAAGGTATATTAAATTGGGCGCATATTTTATACTAGCTTAGTGCTAAACGCCAACTTTATTCATGTATATAAATAAATAAATACCACTATATAATACATATTACACGGCGCCATCTAGTGTAAAACTAAAGACTTATATCTACTATCGATACTTTTTTTTTGATGGGTGAAAATTTTATGTAGCCCCGCCTGCGCTAACGGGATACGCTGGCGGAGCACCAGTGAAGGGTGATCGATGAGAATGAAAACAGGCCAGTTAGCCCATCATGATTAATTCATCAGGAATTATCCATGATAGTTTCCAGGGGGAACCGCGAGGAGGTCGACCTGGTTGGGTATATTGCTAGCAATGGGATTCTCCGTCTCCATTACTAACAATCCTTTTCCCCCTACTATCGATACTAGACAACTGATGGACATACATACATACTTTTTGTTAATGTATATCTAAACTAATATTACAAATATTAAATCATCAAAGGATGGGCAGCAGCGTCCCTCTTTAAACATCACTTAATTCTAACTGCGGTTCCCAATTAGCCTGCCAAGCTTGGCAACTACTAGTAAATCCTTCCAAAGGAAGAGACCTATGCTCAGCAGTGAGCAGTTGGCGGCTGATATGATGATAATAATGATGAATATAACAAAAAGGAAAGATTTGATTTCTTATTTGTAATAAATTTACCAAATATTTAACCCATTTTAAAAACTCATAGACACGAGAGTGAACTCTATGGATTGGAAAATACACATCAAAATCGATTCACCACTGTCAAATATATCGCTGAACATACACGTGTGGACGAATTGAGAAATATTTACCATGCCTTAAAAAAAGCAGTTGTGTTTGCATGGCTATTTTTCGGTTTGAAGTGTGGGATATGGCGTGAATTTACTGGGTACAGAAAAATAACACCTGAGATCTCAGGAATGGCAACGCATGGGGAGTATTATGGGCGGAACAGTATACTCTGTTATGTCCATGGTACTGCTCATGTCTATAGGCGACGGTTACCAATTTCCATCAGGTGGGCCGTCAGCTTGTTTGCCATTCTAAGTTGCATAAAAAAATAGCACTTACCTCGTGAACAGTGGCCGCTCTGAACAAAAAGCAGTTGAGGAGTGCATCCTTCTCGTTGAGCAGTATATAGAACAGCTCCTCTGGTCGGCCAGGGACCTGGCTGGCCCTGGGCAAGTCATACAAAATACATTCAATACAATCCAAACGATTATCACAACCATAGATAAGATAAATATATTTATTTTATTATTCATTTAACTCTTTATTACAGGGGAGAAGGGATTGTTAGTAATGCGGATTATCAGTTCCATTGCTAACAATATACCCTAACAGGTCGACCTCCCCGTGGTCTCCCCTGGAAACCATCGTGCTGAATTCCAAATGTATTCATCACGATGGGCTAACTGACCTGCCTTTTCATTCTCACCGATCATCCCTCACTGGTTCCCCGTCGGCGTATACCATTAGCGCAGGCGGGGTTACCATTCCATTATCATCCATTAAAAAAAAACTCTTTATTACACCAAAAACATAAAAATAAACAATGACATATAAACAATTCAATTGAAATACAGTAGCATGGAGTACAGATTAAAATATACATATAAAGGTACAAAAGGCGGTCTTATCGCTAGGGCAATCTCTTACAGATTTAAAGAAAAATATACTACACTAGCTGTTGCCCGCGACTTCGTCCACGTTTCTGTTGTTTGTCGTAAAATATAGTAGTATAGTAATATAGTAGCCTATGTCCTTCCTCACGGTTATGTGGTTTTGATGTAACAGACACATTTCCCTTCACTGTTCTGCTTCTATTGATCGTAGCGTGATGAAAAGTATACTATAACCTGCCCAGGAGTATGAAGAATAATTATACCAAGTTTCGTTAAAATCCGTCGTGTAGTTTTTGTTTCTATAATGAACATACAGACAGACAGACAAAAATTTTACTGATTACATTTTTGACATCAGTATCGATCACTAATCACCCCCTGATAGTTTTTTGGAAATATATTTCATGTACAGAATTGACCTCTCTATAGATTTATTATAAGCATAGAAGATATAGCTCTGTTCCATTCAGCAGTCGTGTTTGCATGGCTGTGTTTCGGTTTGAAGGGTGGGATATGGCGTAAATTTACTGGGTACAGAAGAATAACACCTGAGTCCTCAGGAATGGCAATGCATGGGGGGTATCATGGGCGAAACAGTATACTCTGTTATGTCCATGGTACTGCTCATGTCTATAGGCGACGGTTACCACTTTCCATCAGGTGAGCCGTCAGCTTGTTTGCCATTCTAAGTTGTATAAAAAAAATGTTTGTTTGTTATTTTCGTCGTATAAATATACCATATATTAAATAACTTTTTCCTAATTATTCAATTAAGAAAAAGTTAAAGAGTAAATTTTACAATGAATTATAATTATATTAATAAGAACTTACCTTAAAATGTCTACTAATCTATGAACGATCACGGGCTCGAAGTTCCCATTGTAAGCTTTCAAGCACCCATCTTCAATAGCTATGCTTAACTGAAACAAAGAAAATTATATATATAAACATAAAAAATTGTCGAGCTATGGTCAAATTAGTATAAGTACTAGTATAATATTATATTAACTATGGAATATGTATAGTTAGATTTTTTTTAATGGATGACAATGGAATTGTAACTCCGCCTGCGTTAACGGTATACGCTGGCGGGGCACCAGTGAGGGATGATAGGTGAGATAAAAAGGCAGGTTAGTTAGCCTATCGTGATGAATACACCAGGAATTCAGCATGATGATTTCCACGTGGAGGTCGCCTTGACAGGGTATATTGCAAGCAATGGGACTGGTAGTACGCATTACTAATAATCCCTTCCCCCTGTTATAGTTTTTTTTTTTTTTTATGGGTGAAAATGCTTTGGTAACCCCGCCTGCGCCAACGGTATACGCTGGCGGAGCACCAATGAAGGGTGATAGATGAGAATGAAAACAGACCATAACTGGCCTGTTTTCATTCTCATCATGGGCTAACGCCCATCATGATGAATTCATCAGGAATTAACCATGATAGTTTCCAGGGAGAACCGCGAGAAGGTCGACCTGGTTGGGTATATTGCTAGCAATAGGATTCTCAGTCTCCATTACTAACAATCCCTTTCCCCCCACCCCTGCTATAGTTAGTAAGTAGTTAGTAGATAGGTATATCTTAACACGTCATAATAATTTTTAAACAACCAACTTTAAAAAGAAGGAGACGCTCAAGTCGGTTGTATTTTTTATATTTGTTACTTCATAACTCAGTGCATTCTAAATTTTTTTTTTATCTGTACTTACAGATATTTCTATACTTACAGATTTGATACCATAGAATTTTTATCAAAATCAATTCACTAGACTAGTTTTTTTTTTAAATCAAAATAACCGATTTTGAAAAAAGTTGGTTTTTCTTCGTAGAACACAATCTTTATAACACAATATTTACGTTTTTTTTTAATTCGAAACTTCTGAAAATTTTTCATAGTAGATACTATAGATAATTACAATAAATAACTACCTTATCTTTAATGCTGGTAGCTCGAATTTCCCGTAGCAGCCACGGGAGCATGGCGTTAGAGAAACGCCTGTCCATCGCCGTATAGCCAAGGTAAGTCACAGAGGTCAATCTGGTTTTCATTTTTTATGTACCTGTAAACAAAAAACAATATATAAACTACTTACTTCTTATTTCTATCATTACTCGTGTTATAATGTATCTTATATTCCCATATGGGATCAGCTAAGCTGTTGCACGTCGACCCATTGGGATCTTTTGTGCTTTCCCCTACCTTAGACCATCATTTCATAGATCCTTTCTGTTACCTTAACGATATCCCGCGGTTTAAGACATCTGTAGTCCCCTGATTCTGGATAAGCCATTCCCAGTAGACTCATGCGCATGCTCGCTAACGAATCACAGATGCACATCAAGTGTTCCATGGATTCCGATTTCTCCCCGCACAGTCTGCACAGTGTGTCCGAAGATAGACCCATCTTGTGTAGTATATGCCTTATTGGCATATGTCCAGTTAAGGCACCCTAAGTGATAATGGAACTCGATCACGATGTAGACACGATCACCCATGATGTCCATTGTATTGTTTTTGTTTAATGAATTATAATGAAATGGTAACCCCACCCGCGCATCCTATTGCTAGCAATATACCCAACCAGGTTGACCTCCTCACGGTTCTCCCTGGAAACTATCATGGTTAATTCCTGATGAATTCATCATGATGGGCTACCTGGCCTGTTTTCATTCTCATCTATCACGCTTCACTGGTGCTCCGCCAGCGTATCCCGTTAGCGCAGGCGGAGTTACCATACCATTTTCACCCATCAAAAATATATATATATATATTCCTAATCAATACTTTTTACAAATCAATATTAGTAGGTATAGTTTTTTCTACTTCAAAATATTTACTTTTATGTTTACCATTAATACGAGACCTTCACACTTTAAATTTTAATAAACTGAGGAAACATCGTAATTCCATCGTATAAACACAATCGGGTGGCAGAAACAATTAAACATTGAATTTAGAAACATATTTCAATCGACACTAGGTTTTAAATCCGATATTCTTTATCAGTAATTTGCTACAGAACCGTCATTCCGAAGCGGGCTTACAGACTGTTGTAACATTTATGAATTAACATCTTATTATACACCTACATATTTACTATGAAACAGTTTACAAGCGCCTGGGTACAGTCGTGTCCAAGTTTATGAACACTTTTTTTTCTGAACAATTTTCATCTATATCGACGCAGTTAACAAACCAACGATTTCCTTCTTACTGTCTCACATTTAAATTATCAGTAAGTATTGCATTTGTAAAAAACAAGTTCCATACAAAAAAGCTTTCAAAAAAGGTTTCTGTTTTCTCATATTTTCGATCATAAGTTAAAATTACATAAAAATAAATAAAAAAAAAAAAAACAGTTTTTAAATGTACTATGTATGTAATGTGGGAAGCAAACAAGCTCACATTCCCATTTATCATTAACATCGTCATATCAGTCGTTAGCTATCCACAGATGAGCCTTTCCCTTGAAGAAGGTTTTGCCAGTAGTTGCCACGCTTGGCAGACAGTTTGGCATCTGTAGTTGGGCTTTTGGAGATGTTTTAAGAGGGACGCTGCTGCCCATCCCCTAACCATTAAGTTCCTCTTATGACACCAACGGGAAAGGAAGGGGTGGCCCATTCTATATCTGGCATATACTACTTTCGCATTTTAAATAAATATTAATATTTATGATTAAGATTAAGCACACAACTATACAACTGAAAGTAAGAAAACCCGTCTATTTATATATATATATATATATATATATATATATATATATATATATATATATATATATATATATATATATATATATATATATATATATATATATATATATATATTAAGATTAATAAAAAATATACTGCATTATTTCCTTAGAAATATAGCTTTTTCCTTATAATATGACGAGGGTCAACAAGTTGTCCTGCTTACTATTAAAAGGTCCATGGGCACGTTTAAGAATCGCTTTTCCATATTGTCATTTCCGATAAAGTGTATAAAACTATATAATAGTAATATAATTTTCATTGTATTTTTATCCGATTTAAAAAATGAGGATTTTTCAATTCGACTGTAGTGTAGTGGCCCTTGTTTGTGTGTGTCTCTTCTACGTATGTGTGTGTAGATGTATATAATAAGTTAATATATTTTTTATGGGTGACAATGGTATGGTAACCCCGCCTGCGCTAACGGGATACGCTGGCGGGGCACCAGTGAAGGGTGATAGATGAGAATGAAAACAGGCCAGTTAGCCCATCATGATGAATTCATTAGGAATTAACCATAATAATTTCCAGGGAGAACCGCGAGGAGGTCGACCTGGTTGGGTATTATGCTAGCAATAGGATTCTCAGTCTCCATTACTAACAATCACTTTTCGCCCTAAGTTAATATATTAAGTTAGCGAATTCTAAACCATTTGCGGATAAAAATAATAGTGACAAGAATAAAAATTAATCAGACATCAACAGGGAACTGAAACCAAAACTTGCTAAATTACTCATCGGTTTCGTTACAAAATCCGTCCAGATAAGGATTTAATCACTGATCCATAATATTTAGACAAAAAAATGTATCGTTATCTATTTAATCGACTTCAAAAAGGACGAGGTTCTATGTTTAATTGTATATTATTCCTTCCTTTTTTTTTTTACGCCCATCGATTTCATAATTTGAAAAAAATTTTTATTCAACAATGCATACTCTTGAGGTGAACTCAATGTCGTCAATTCAGGATCTGCCGTTGAAATATCCCTGGAAAATCGAGGGCAACTCTCAATTTTTTAAAAAAAATATAATATATGTCATATTTTTTTGAAAAATAAGCATTGAAGATGTTCAATGACTTCGCTAATACGCTAAAAAAACACACAGCGATGAATAATGTAGAAAAAAAAAACAACTATAAAAGATGTCACATTGAAAAATAACAACAGAAAAATAACAATGGGTGAACTGAACGTGTACTCTTAACATGTCAACTACAAGTTATTGTTTGTTTTGTTTTTGTTTTCTGTAATTACAAACAATTATTAAGAACGTTTCATGCTTTTTATTCCATTGGAAATAGTAAACAAACCGACTGTCTACCTGCGATTGAAAATAACCTTCCCCCATTGACGAGTACACCACCATAATTTTTTTTTTTTTTTTTTTTTTTTTTAAAACTTAGAATGGCAAACAAGCTGACGGCCCACCTGATGGAAAGTGGTAACCGTCGCCTATAGACATGAGCAGTGCCATAGACATAACAAGTATACTGTTTGTTTTGATTTTGTTTTATGCGTTGCCATTATTAAGGACTTTCATGTTTTATTCCTCTGTACCCTGTAAATTCAATATCCCACCCTTCAAACCGAAACACAGCCATGCAAACACAACTGCTTCACGGTTGAAACACGAATGGGACAGAGGTACCCAAGCAATCGACTTTGTACAAAGTCTCCCCACAGACTTACAGACTACTCTGATACAGAGACATCCACTGTACTCTTCATGGGTTTATTTTTAATGGCTTAACCCCACCTGCCTAACGGTATTCGCTGGCGGGGCACCAATAAGGGATGATAGGTGACAATGAAAAAGCAAGTCAGTCCATCGTGGAACTCAGCATGATGGTTTCCAGAGCGAGGGACCACGTGGAAGTCGACCTGATAGAGTACATTGCTAGCAATAGGACTGGTAGTCCGCTTTACTAACAATCCCTTTCACCCACTTTTCATGCGTTGCCATTACTAAGTACTAAGGTGTTTTTTTTATGATTAAAAATGGAATGGTGACCCCGCCTGCGCTAGTGGTATACATGAGCAGGGTATCAATGAGATACTGTATACGAGTAACATAGGGTTTAAGGGCCGTAGCTAGACCCAAGTTTAAGGTAGGGCAAAATAACTTATTGTTAGAACGGAAGCCATAATTAAGTGACTTCTGAAAAGCGAGTCTATCTAATTTTCTTAGGGTTATTCATTTTAAGGACATTGCCCCTCAATGCCCATCCTCCCAACTACAACCAAGTAAGGTTAATATTTAAATCTGTCAGCAGTTTATTTATAAACATACTACCTACGCCATAGACAAAGAAGTTTGTTCCTTTATCTAATTACCTATAGCATTAATGTTGTTTACCATTAATGCTATATATATATATATATATATATATATATATATATATATATATATATATATATATATATATATATATATATATATATATATATATATATATGTATATATATATATATATATATATATATATATATATATATATTTATTTACATTTCGAACAGGTTCTTCATTTTTCAATATTGATCGTCATCGTATGAGCTGTTAAGTGTCCACTGTTGAACATAAGCCTCACTGATAAACTGCCATAAGAAGTGGTCCCGAGCCATATGCTCATTCATCGACTCCCTACAATACATTTCACAGGGGGGGATGAAGGAATTGTTACTATCAGGTCAACCTCCATCCCCTGGAAACCATAGTGGTTATTTTTTTGTTCAAATGGTCACTATGGGCCAAGAAGAGTGTAGAGGGTACAAAGAGTTCTAACGTTTCACGAATGGAAAGCCACTTGAGAGACCGATATAAAGAAATATGATCGACAGAAGATAAAGCCAACATCCTCATTATCGAGAAGATCATTACACACATCAACAATAATCGGAATAATAAGTGCGTGAACAAGATTAATATCATAGCAAAAAGTTTTTAAAGCGATATAAGGAGCCCTCAACAACTGAGCGACTTACCTAACTTGAAGATTTTGCATACAGCCAACCGTGTAGGACTATATTTCGGTTCCATATGTCATCACTGCAATATTATAATGTTAGATATCCGTTATTTGACGACCATGCCAGAATGCTGTTCAGATCGTTATTTATATATATATATATATATATATATATATATATATATATATATATATATATATATATATTTATTTATTTATTTATCGCCCATCCCTAGTCTCCGTCGTGTTCCCTATAGCTTCATTTAACTTGACGATAAGGTTGAAATTATCACAGAAAAAAAATCCCTAAATAAAATTAATAACAAATTATTTGTACTACCGTTAGAGAACTCGCCGTGTGGCCCCAACATAAAATGGGCCACCGCTTCCTTATCCATCATATCCCATAGTGAGTGTTGTAAAGAAAAAGGCGATGAAATCGATTGAACTATATTGGGATGGGCGATGAATTGATACAATTGCGTTCCATTTGATTGAATTAAAACATTACCAAAACATTACCAAAAGCGGTTGCCAACCCGCCTGCCTAACGTGGCAACTACTAGTAGAACCCCCCTTATAGGGGCGACCTATGACCAGCAATAGACAATTAACGGCAGATATGATGACTTGAAACAAACTATATCCAAATGTCATTCAAGTTGTCGAACTAGCGCGCTTTATTCAATTAACCCCAAAACTCATATATACGTCGATATTTTTATGGAAAAAATTATTGCAATTTAATTATTAATAAAAAATAATAATAGAATAAAACCATGTGGTCCCGGCATAGAATGGACCACATATTCCTTTCCCGTGGGTGTCGTAAGAGGCGACTAAGGGAACTTAATAGTCGAGACATGGGCAGCAACGTCCCTCTTAAAACATCACCAAAATCAAATGGGGGGAGAAGGGATTGTTAGTAATGGGGATTAGTAGCCCCATTGCTAGCAATATACCCTATTAGGTCTAATCAACGTGATTCCTCCTGAAAATCATCGTGATTGATTTATTGTTAGATATGTCACGGTGGGCTAACTGACCTGTTTCATTCTCAACTATCACCTCTCGCTGGTGCCCCGCCAGTGTATACCGATAGCGTAGGCGGGGTTACCATTCCATTGTCTTTTTTTTTGCTAGAAAATACAGTTTCCCTAAATATTGAGAGCCAATTACTTTACGCTATACCAAGTGTAATGGTTTTTTTTTTGTTGAATGAAAATAGTATGGTAACCCCGCCTGCACTAACGGGATACGCTGGCGGAGCACCAGTGAAGGGTGATAGATGAGAATGAAAACAGGCCTGTTAGCCCATCATGGTGAATTCATCAGGAAATAACCATGATAGTTTCCAGGGAGAACCGCGAGGAGGTCGACCTGGTTGGGTATATTGCTAGCAATGGGATTCTCAGTCTCCATTATACTAACAATCCCTTTCCCTCCCTAAGTGTAATAGTTAATTTACAATTTATTTATTTGGTTTGGTTCTAAGTTTTAAATTTTCTGTTTTCATGTGTATGAATATTATTATTTTGTGGTATGATATGTGGAGTGAAAAAAAAAACAAATAAAAATAAACACTTCACTTGTATAATTACTTACAGCTTTTAAAATACTTTTTATTTCAATTAAATATTATTACTTATATGGAAAATATTCATTAAATATTTGCCTACATTACATATAATATTACATCGCAATAATTCTACATTAATATATTATAAAACTATATATTATACTTACTTAAATGCGTGTTTTCATTCAAGTCCGCGATGACATAAGTAAATCAATAAAACCAACAATACGAACGTAAGTCAACACGCGTTTCCACAGAAATATCGTCAAGTAAATTACATTCCAGTCTTTGAATGAAAACTTGGCGAGTATCGGCTTACAATACGTTAAAAATATATTAATATTTATCGCTTTGATTCAACAAAAGGCACCCACGGTTTAATACATATGAAACAAAACTGAACACTTCGGTATAAAGGTGTCATATTCTCTTCTTGTTACATCTCTTTCTTATTAATTGTAAAGAGTGAAATAGCACTAGCCATAGGAAAACATGCTACTAAACGCACATTATACCTTTTAATTTTTGTTACAATGTATTATTGATAATACGTTTGTGTTTACATGTTATATTAAGAAGTAATAATATTACGGAATATCCAGGAAAACTCAGTAATGTATATAAAAATCATAAAGCGCCATCTAACAGTAAATAGCGACATTAGAAATTTAAAAAAAGTTTACTATTATTTTTCTTTAATAGGCGGAAAACCTACGGCCAAATCCGTAAACTAAAATACAAAACTGAAAACAATGTTTTTTTTTTTAATTTGACCGACTTTGTTTTATCGTTTCACGTAAAGACTGCTACACTGATTGTTACAAAATGTTCACAATACCTTAAGCTAAATATGAGTTAACATAATAAAATATATTTATAAGAAAATTAAATAATTACCCCTTATTGTTACATTTCTCAATACTATTTATTATCGAGTGTTTCTACTAAAAGCGGAAGTTACAGCTCTTATATTAAGGTGTGTTGTGTTTACTAAACAATAGATGGCAGTATTTATCAGAATGACAATCAATAGCGAAAAATAAAAGTGGAATTTTTGAATGGCGTGTATAGTAAAGATACATACAACTATGTTGTGGCCGTAGATATCTAAAGTTATGGCATAGATAAACATTAATAATATACTCAGAAAATTGATTAGAAATCTGACGAATAAGTGCCATCTAACAATAAATAGCAACATCATCTGGTGTCCTATAATTAACGTAATACCAGTAATAAAAGTTAGATGTCACTATTTCTAAATGAAAAATATCATCATCATCATCATATTCAGCCTTTAACTGTTCACTGCTGAACATAAGCCGCCCCCTTTGGGGGTTTTGCCAGTAGTTTTAAGAGGGACGCTGCTGCCCATCAGTCGCCCTCCCTTAGTCGCCTCTTGTAACACCCACGGAAAGAGGAGGGGAAGGGATTGTTAGTAATGAAGTCTAATAGCCCCATCGCCAGCAATATATCCGCTTGGGTCGACCTCTACGTGGTCCCCCTAGAAACCATCGCGCTGAATTCCAAGTGTAGTATTCATCACGACGAGCTAACTGAGCTATCTTTTCATCCTCACCTATCATCCTTTACTGATGCCCCGCTCGTGTATACCGATAGCGCAGGCGGGGTTACCATTCCATTATCACTTATTAAAAAAACAACACCCACAATAAAGGGAGGAGTAGCCTATTCTATGCCGGGACCACACGACCAATATAAAAGATATACTCGATGTCAATAAAAAATAACAAATCGTATAACAGTATTAATCTTTAAAAGACAAAAGAAAATACTGTTTTTTTATACAACTTAAAATGGCAAACAAGCTGACGGATCACCTGATGTAAAGTGGTAACCGTCGCCTATAGACATGAGCAGTACCATGGACATAACAGAGTATACTGTTTCGCCCATGATACCCCCCATGCGTTGCCATTCCTGAGGATTAAGGTGTTATTCCTCTGTACCCAGTAAATTTACCCCATATCCCACCCTTCAAACCGAAACACAGCCATGCAAACTCAACTGCTTCACGGTTGAAACACGAATGGGACAGAGGTATCAAAGCAATCGACTTTTGAACAGTCTCCCTCTGGTAAAGTAAGGTAAGTACTAAAAACGAACCAATAATTACAATATCATTGACGAGAACTACTTGTTTTATTTTTTAGATATTTAAAATTTTTGTGCGTGTCAGTTTTTTTTTTTTTTAATTGCAAAATCTCTCTTACAATCTCTAATCTTATCTTCTCTTATCATTATAAAATAATTATTTATTTTTATTTTTATTCCGCCTAGTCTGTCATATCTATCTACTTACTATTAACATTTTTTTTAATTAATGATTTTTTTTATGGGTGAAAATAGAATGGTAATCCCGCCTGCGCTAACGGGATACGCTGGCGGAGCACCAGTGAAGGGTGATAGATGAGAATGAAAACAGGTCAGTTAACCTATCATGATGTATTCATCAGGAATTAACCATGTTAGTTTCCAGGAAGAACCGCGAGGAGGTTGAGCTGGTTGGGTATATTACTAGCAATGGGATTCTCAGTCTCCATTACTAACAATCCCTTTCCCCCTGGGGTAAATTATTAATGATATTGGAATGGCAACACCGCCTACACTAACGGTATACGCTGGCAGGGCATCAATGAGGGATGATAGATGAGAATGAAAAGGCAGGTCAGATAGCTCATCGAGATGAATACACCTGGAATTCAGCACGATGGTTTCCAGGGGAGACCACTTGGAGGTCGACTTGACAGGGTGTATTGCTAGCAATGGGACTGGTAGTCCGCATTCTCACTATTAACCTATTGCTAAGTTAAACCAGTCGGTATTACACGTTTATTTTACGCAAAATCAATTTATTTATTTATGAATTTAATAATTGTCGTTACTGTAAAGTACTTATATGCATCTCTTTCACACGCGTCCTCCCAAATTCCTAAGGTTTCGCCCTTTGACGTCACAGTATTGATTATTATAATTCTCTCTTGAGAATGTACATGCGAAATATTCATTTCATCCATATCAATTTTAAACCTCTATATTAAACAGTAAAAAAGTCGGTAAAATAACAATTACAATTGTAATATGTAATTACTTTAAAATTTGGTCTTAAATTAAAATAAAAATGTCAAATTTAAACTGAATGTTTAAGTTCAAGAAAATGCCGCGCGACAGTGGCGCTCGCGTTACAATCCGCCGTCTGTTGTCAGGTGTGGGTGTCACGCACACTTGTAACATGCATAAAGTAAATTCAAATGGTCTAAAAGTGACTTTTTATTTATTATGTTAAATATGATATGCGTGAAATCGTGAAGTGGGACAATGTCGGACATATACCGAGAGACATCTCTTACTTAGGCACCGCGTAACAACCGTTTATATAGGTAAGATACGTATTTTATTTTTAGCATTAAAAATAATTATAATATATTAAACTTTTACATATAAAATTGACAGGTTTTAAATTAAGAATCGAATGAATCTGTGATAAATTTAAAAATATAGTTATACATTTACTGATTGAATTATTAAAAAAAAAACCTTAGTAATTAATTATTAAAATTTAAATTACTCAGCACTAAAATTTACCTACAGTGGTGACGGTCAGACATAAATTCGGTTAAATTTATTAGCATAACTAAATTGATTCGGTAATTGATATACAATTTTGGACACTGATTATTAAACCTTATTAGTAAATATATATACCTAATATAAATATTTACAATTTATTTAAATATATACAATTTATTTAAATATTTTATAGACTACATAAAATTAATTCCTGTTCGTTAGGAAAGGGATCATTTGATAACGGATGCTCTGATTTGGCTATATTTTGTATGGCGTAATAATCGGGTTATTATGAAAAAATAAAATCGGTCAAGTGCGAGTTGAACTCACAAATCAAGGGTTCCGTACATTATAAATGTGAAACAAAATGACCTCTATTGTATTTCTCATACTAAATAAATGCCTAATAATCATTATTATTGATACAACAATTTTTACTATTATTATTAATTCAGTCATTAATTTTCCATTGCTGAACATAAATGTTCCCCATAAAGGGAGTTTTGCCAGTAGTTGCCACGTTTGGCAGGCGGCTTGGCAACCGCAGTTAGGCTTTTAGAGATATTTTAAAAGGGACGCTGCTGCCATCCCTCGCCCTCCTTTAGTCGACTCTTACACTCGTAAGAGTCGACTAAAGGAGGGCGAGGGATGGCAGCAATGGAAAGGAAGGGGTGGCCTAATCAAGCCCGAGACCACATGGCTATACTTTTTTAAGTTTAATTTACAATAATCAAATAATAACAACATTATAAATTAGAGTTATTTTGTTTAATTCCGCTACCATTAGGTAGTGTGCGATGACAAACTAAACCTACTACGTATTAATAGCGGAATTAAACAAAATATTTTTTTTTTATACAACTTTGAATGGCAAACAAGTTGACGGCCCACCCGATGGAAAGTGGTAACCGCCACCTATAGACATGAGCAGTACCATGGACATAACAGAGTATACTGTTTCGCCCATGATACCACCCATGCGTTGCCATTCCTAAGGACTCGGATGTTATTCCTCTGTACAAATTCACGCCATATCCCACCCTTCAAACCGAAACACAGCCATGCAAATACAACTGCTTCACGGTTAAAACACAAATTGAATAACCAGGAATGACTAGTAATCTCCCTATTCTTAATTAAAACAAAAAACACATAAATAGATAATGTATGTATGTATAAAGATATATATATTTAGTATATAGAATTATAGGATATAATTGTTTATAAATCTGTATGTATGTACAAGAGCGTAAACCTGCAAACAAACTGCAAAGCAGTTTCGCTGCACTAAGAATATGTATTGTCTATGTAACTGTTTATTTGAAATAAATAAAAATAAATTAATAGACTCTGTCATAACAATTTACCTACCTCCACGTCTATATCTATTTCAACGCGCTTAATCTCTGGAACTAACTATCGGATTTGAAAAACTCTTTATGGATTTGATAGTATATTTCTTGAGGAAAGTAACTGTTCGCCATCATGACACGACCACGGACAAAATCATGTGGCACGGGTAGTTAAATATAAAATGTTTGCACTTAAAACGTTTAATCGTATGTCCATATATGTATACATTTTGTTTCACAACAACCAGTATTTTGTTCCGCCAATTAAAAAGCTACTTATGAATATGTAATTTATTAATCGAGATATGAGCAGCAGCGACCCTTTCAAAATATCGTCCAATCCTAACTGAGGTTGCCAATCCGCTTGCCAAGTGTGACAACTACTGGTAAAATCCCTGTTAAGAGGATTCCCATGTTCAGCACTGCATAGTTTATGGCTGATTTAATGATGATAATGTAATTGCTAATTTACGGGACAGCATTGGAAATAATAAGATAGTCTTCCCAAAAAGAAAAAACAACGATTTTAATTATTGAAAAGTCAATTATTTTGATTTAAAAACTAAAGTACCGGACCAATTCTGATAATATTTCCATTTTATATTATTTT